GAGATAAGAAAGATGGAGAAACGGTGGCTTTGCTCCGTGTTCCCAGTCTTTTGAAAGTGGGGATTGATGTGTTTGCCGTTGCCGAGGCGCATTGCGCGAAGGAGGGTGAAGAAGGTTTTACTGGGATTGCCTCGAAGCTCCTGGCGTTGACTGATGAACAAGCAAAAGAGGAGTTGGCTACAACAAAATTGAAGAAACAAGTACTGGAGGAATTTTCTTCCGACGATAAGAAAGGCGTCTGCAGCATAGCGGATCAGGCTGTTTCCTAAAAAGTGAAGAATATACATGTGAGCCGACCAACAACAGTCGTGCGGGGAAGTGATATTTACATGCTTGCTGGAAATTACAGTTGGACAATTACCGCCGATGATCAGGCAGTTGACTGGGGATTCATGCTGGTGAAAGGGAACGTCAGTGAGAAGAAAGACGAAAAGAACGAAAGAATACTTTGGAATGATACCTACATTATCCCGTGGAGTCATAATGTCAATCAAAATGAACCCTTGAAAAGGCTGGTTGGCAGCGGTGGATCGGGTGTTAAGATGGAGGACGGTACGCTTGTGTTTCCGCTGGAAGGGACGACGAAGAAGACCAACCAGGGTGATGGCAACGAAAAGGATGGAAAGACTGTCTCGCTGATCCTACACTCGAAGGATACTAAATTTTGGAAGCTGTCGAAGGGGATGTCTGCCGGTGGCTGCAGTGATCCCTCCGTCGTGGAGTGGGAGAAGGACAAACCCATGATGATGACTGCGTGTGATGATGGCCGCCGCAGGGTGTACGAGTCCGGTGACAAGGGGGACTCGTGGACGGAGGCCCTCGGGACACTCTCGCGCGTGTGGGGCAACAAAAAGGAACGGATGAAACGCGTTGGGAGCGGGTTCATCACAGCGACTCTTGGCGATGGTGGAAATAGAAATGTGATGCTTGTCATTCTGCCGGTGTATTCTGGTAAGAAAGGTAACGAAGTCAATGGAAAGGGCGAACTCCATCTTTGGCTGACGGACAATACGCACATTGCTGATATTGGGCCGGTATCCGGGGAAGGAAGAGGACGTCGCCGCCAGCTCCCTGTTGTACAAAAGTGGTAATGATAATAAAGAGGAGTTGATTGCACTGTACGAGAAGAAGAAGGGCGTTGAGGACACATCATCTGGCATGGTCTCTGTGCGTCTGACTGAGCAGCTGGAGAAGGTGAAGGAGGTGCTCAAGGCGTGGAAGAATGTGGACGAAGGTGTCTCCAAGCTGTGCACCTCTGAGAGTGTTGGGAAGGATACCTTAACTGACAATGCCTGCACTACTGATGGTAAGATCACGGATGGGCTGGTTGGCTTTTTGTCCGGCAACTTCTCTGAGAACACATGGATGGACGAGTACCTCGGGGTGAACGCCACAGTAAATAATAAAGGTGGGGCTGCAAAGGCGGAAGATGGTGTGACGTTCCAGGGAGCGTGGGCGGAGTGGCCCGTTGGCAGGCAGGGGGAGAATCAGCTGTACCACTTCGCGAACTACAACTTCACTCTTGTGGCGACGGTGTCCGTCCACGGTGAGCCGAAGGAAGATAACTCCATTCCTTTTTTGGGTGCAAAGATGACAGGTGCAGGGAATTCTGTATTTTTGGGACTGTCGTACGGCAAGGAAAAGAAGTGGCAGTTGCTGTCCGGTGACGAAGTCCCTAAGGAGCACAGCAGCACTTTGGGGACAGAGAAAACTCAACACGTGGTAATTTTGTTAAGGAACGGCACCCAGGGCTTCGCGTACGTCGATGGTAAGCGTGTGGGTGGGGATGTGCCGTGTGCACTGGGAAATAAGGATTCGAAAGAGATATCGCACTTCTACATTGGAGGGGATGGACGCAGCACAGTGAGCACAGGGAACGGAGAAGGCGTTTCTGTGACTGTGACGAACGTCCTTCTGTACAACTGCCCGTTGGATAGCACTGAGATTGACGCCCTCAACCCGAATAAGGCCTCTATCCCATCTCTGGTGAACACGACTATTGAAGGAACCATGTCCTCGTCTACTGCTGGACGACAACAGCAGGCGGGAAAGGAACCGTTATTGGAGAGCAGTATTGCGAATGGGGAGAAGGCGGGAGGAACGGATGTGCAGGAGGAGGAGGTTATTACACAGTTCGGGGAAGTAAATGCTGCGGCACTCAGCAGCAGCCTCGGAAATGTGTCGCAGGGGAATAACAGCGATGCCGGCACTGTGTGTGAGTGCAGTATATTGCTGCCATTGCTGCTTCTGTTGGGACTGTGGGGGTTTGCGGCGCTGTGAGGAGTGACTGGCTGCCGCGTGGAACACTTGCGACCTCCGCTGCACCGACACACACACACACCTGGCAATGAATATTTCTGAAAACTATCTTTCTTCTTCCTTTTTGTTTATTTTAAATTTATTTTACTTTTTGCTTCTTTTCTACTCTTCCCTCTTTTAATTGTTTCTTGCCGCGCTCTTCCTGTGAGGGGTGCCGTGTGTTTCCCGCCCAAC